GATGACGTTTGGGACACATCGAGAGGTTCTCTCATCCTAAGACGAGCCAGAAAGACGATGCTGGATCGGAGCTGGCGCTACACAATCATATCAACCGCACATAGACGTGGCTGATGGCGCTTGTATATACACGCTTTTACCTCAAGACTCAAGACCCATCTAGATGTGCAGCATGGTCCAAGGACAAGAAACGCACCCACACCCGGTGCCACACCATATCACACCCGTTGGGTTTCCTTTTGCGAGCGGAAGACCTGCCAGACGATGCCGCCGGTGAAGACGAGAGAGGATGAGGATGAAGAGACAGCCCTGGTGCGGCCGGCTTGTGCGTTTTGCTGTACGGCTAGTGTTGTGGAGAGTTGGTTGACGATCCCAGGAAGCACTGGGGAACCTGTGGGGAAAGAAGACTTTTGGTAGTTGCAACCGGATCCAATCCAACCAATGACAAGAATCTACATTCCCCACACCACTTCGGAACTGTTTCACCCTCCACCGATCACCACCCCAACGCCAAGCTCTCGGGTAAGCCTGCGCCAGGTGATCAAGATCGCAAGCATCCTTGGTGCTGTTTTGGCTGGGACCTTTTTCAACGAGCGAACAGTCGCGTGAGAACCGCTGCGAAGGTCGCGTGCGAGGGACTTCGCCCGGGTCAGTATCAGTATGCCAATGGGGAACTGTCCAACTGTACTGTAGACTGATTATATTTCACTGTATGATGAGGTTCTACAATCCTTTCATTAATGGTTTTGGAGCCATATTTTTACGAAACAGCGAAAAGACCGGCTAGCGGGAGCCCGGCTGTATGGGGTTTCACCTCCTATCTTCACCGAAGTCCAAAAGGCCTGATTTCAGACAGTATGAATGAGGCTTAAGGTTGAAGATTTGAGGTGGTGAAATGAGGAATGTTCCGAAGAAATAAGCTAACGCTGGAAGAGCAACCACCATAGCTCGAGGCCCATGGTAGCTCACCCCAGTCGCAAGCACCAAGAACATGAGCATCCCAACACTGGCAACTACGTGCTCCTCAAAAACTAACCTCAAGTGCCACTAACCAAAGCTGAAAACGACGAATGGCCTACACAAAACAAAGCAGAAGTATGCCCACCATGGTTCTGTCTTTTGTTAACACACACACACACACAGTGTTTCTTTACTATTATCATCTATTATCTCATATATCTAGCATTTCTCATGATCTATTGTGTTCGGACACCCATCCACTTTCTCCCGGCTGTGCGGCGTCCCGTCGTTCCGAGGCCGCCGGGACGGCGGTGCTGGCGATCTTCGGGGTCTCCTTGGTCTGGTGGACGCCCGGCGGCACCGGATGGGCCCAGAGATGGGGAGGGAGGGAGGGACAGAGGCCTTCTTCTTCGTCAGGTTTTGGAGTTCCCGGGAGTTCGCCCGGGGGGACACCAATGGTGACTTTTGTTGGTTTCGTGGTGTGGAAGTTCAATATAATTATATGTTAATTTGTGATTCAGGGTTACTTTTGGGTGTGATTCAGGGTTCCATAGGGTTCCCAAATGCTTGAACCTGAAAACAGCCTTTCCTGGGTCCAGGTCCTGGGTGCAAGCTGGTTGAATTACTCTCTCGCATCACTTCGCACTCCTGCACCCACCTAAGAAATTCTTCAAACCAATTTCCCTCTCAAACCAAGACAACTTGAGAACGTTTCGTTTGATGGTTCAGGAGAATTGGTCCGTTCAAAAATGACACCTGGAGCTGTTGAAACCAAAGCGCCTTGTCCTTTTCTGCGAGTCATGCCGAACAGTTCGTCTCGGATTCAGCGACGGCGTGGAACCTAGGAGCGGCACCGAATCCAGCCAGCTCCTCATCGTCCAAGCCTTAATGGGTTCTGGGTTGACCAGCTCAGCCTCCCACGCTGGGCACTCGTTTTTGCAGGCAGCTGGGGTGAGTGTGGTTCTTCTTTGTGACTGGACATATCTGGACATGTGCAAAGGGTCTTGGCCTTTGGACTCTGGACGAGTGGTGTTGAGATTTGGATCTCGCGAAGTGGAGAGTGGATTTGGAGCTGGGAGCCAGATTTGATATGATACGTGCCAGGGCCAGGGCTCAGGGGTTTGCGATGAACCATTGAGGTCTTCAAGTGGCTTAGTTGCCATGCTTGACAGCAGTGGTTCAAACCATGTACTTTCTGATTTACATCGTTTGCACGTCGACAGCAGCGTGTGCTCTCACAAACCAAAACGACCAAAATCCGCTTGGAGATCCTTGGAGTCTACGACATCCTTCGAGAATCACTCCAGCCAGCTTGGCGGTCTCGTTTCTGGCGAGACCACCGGCAGAGACCATCGCTGCCAAGCCGGACATGCCGGACATGGATGTTCTTTTGAAACAAATCCAATCCAATTCATTCCAAACCCCCCAAAAACAAACAAAAATCACCAGGCAAAGCCTGAAAGAACCCGACACCATGGCGGTCTGGTGACAGACGAAGGAGTTGTCCGTCCGAAACCGTTCCAAGGCGGGTCTCGATGGCACCGAGACGACCCTTCGAGCTTCCGTGTCCTTGTGCGCCGAACGGTTGGGCGTGCGGAACGGAGGAAACGGTGGAGTGCCAGGAGTTCCGAGATCCATGCAAACCGGAGAGACCTTCCAACGAGATTCAGGCTCTTTCATTCTGCTTTCACCTGAACGCCCCTAGCTAACACCCCCTTCTCTGCGTGCCTTCTCGGTGTTTTCGCTTCGGACTGGAGCGGCAGCCTGGCAAGCGCCAGGTGGGAGTTCGACCTCGAACTGCAGTTGGCGCCCAAGGAGGGTTCCATCAACGGAGAGGCGCGTTCTTCACGCTGCGAACGCGTCGCGTTCACCGCGCCACCGGCTTCGGAAGCCACCAGCGGGTTCTGAAGGAGGACCGCCTTTTGGGTGAGATGAAAGGGAAAGAATTGAGAGGAAGCTGAAGGATATGAAAGCATGAAGCAGTCAAGAGGTATGTCCTCTTTGGGGAATTGCATCCTTCGAACAGTTAAACTGTGAGCGAACATTCGCTGCTTGGTACGGTTCGGGCAGTGCGGTTGATGGATTCCTGACACCGTCCCTCAGATGGCAGTGGCTTGACAGCTAAAGGTGGGAACGGTGCATTGGGAGAGCTTCGGAGCCCATGGCAAAAAAAAAAGCACAGACCCATTGCTTGAGCGATCTCCCTGTTCCAATCCACACCACACCCCCATGTAACTAGCATCGACATATTGAGATATATTGAGTGTGTTGGCCGCACTGTTCAAACGTACTAGGCGCTCTGTCGATGGGACCCCTTCCGTAAACCATTCAGAAGGGGTGTACTGTATGTTCATGAGGGTGTGTAGCTCGAGACATGGGAGACCTCCAGGCAACGACCCCCCACAGGTTCTGTTCGCGAAATAGACCAGTCTACACCAACGGCGATCGGTCTCCCCCGTGTTCGCTGTGCGTCCAGCTCCGAAGACTTGCTGAAGGGCTCAAAGAATCGCGCAGAAAAGCGCAGAAATCATCCAGTGAGGTCCCATTCTGCTGGGGATCCTCCATGAAATAACAAGGCTTGATCAAGTTGTACAAGGTCGGTGAAAGCATAAGCAACAAACCATCGCAAAAGAAACTTGCGGCACAGCATAATTACGCAAGAAATCATACATTTTGGAATGGATCCACTCACCACACCTATACAGTCTATAGTATACAACAACAATCCCTTCCAGACCACTCCATCCAATTCACCACAAAGAATGCTCCCTCCTTCTCTGCGTCTCGCGTCTTGCGTCCAAACCACTCCGTCCGGCCAAAGATGCCGGTCGAAGCTCCTGGTCGGGCGTGGCGGACGTGCTGCGGATCTACTGGGCGCTCGTTCGCGGCTCGGAACGAAGCAACCCAAACAGCCGAGATGGCAGACGGAGACGGCGTTTCGGCATTTTCCGGTCCCGGACTCTGAGATTTTTTTTGAAATAGAAGGCTTTTTGGGAAAAGCAAGGGATTTGGTGCGGGGGTGAGCTATTCCTGGTTGGGGCAGATGTGTGTCAGTTGCTTCGCTTCCAACAGGAGCCTGCTGCGTGATCCTGCTCCATGTGGATCCATGCTGAATCACAGGATTTGCCCTGATTTACTTTGGATTCACTTTTGGATGTTCGTGTGCAACCAACTTCCCAGCGAATCCAGAGTTGCCAGGTCCCGGACAATATTGGTCATCTTTTGAACCACCCTGACCCATAGAGGTACCTGGGAGAAGTTCAAATCGGATGCAGTGGAGGAGACCCTGGGGGTCTTACATTTGGGTCTCAATGATCACACTCAGACCGTGGCACCTCCGGGCATCGTAAAGGAACGTCGTCTCAACCGTCAGGTCGTGGGACTTGGTGCCACACTTTCCCGAGAGACTCTCCAGGGACCCGGTGGGACGGCATCCAACGGAACCCGAACCCGGCTTGTGGGGACGCTTCCGGCACAGATGTACGTCCAGAACAGCCAAGAACTCGGTTGGACATTCCATAGCCAAGCTGCTGACCATGTGTGCATTCTCAACAATCCCAGAATCGGTTTAAGGGGAACAGCTACAGGAAACCGACAGTCTTGGGGGGTGAAAACCATGGTTTCATGATGTAGAATCTTTGCTCAAAGCCAATCCAATGAGACATGTGGTCGTCATCTATGGGACGGCTGTCCTGAGGGCGGAACCCCTTTTCAACACACCTGGATGTAGGATTCTTGACATCCAAAAGGACACTTATGGAAACCCAAGAAGTCCAAAGACATCCAAAGACTATCTTTGGCACGAAGTAGAGGAAATTCCTTTTGAGTCATCTAAACCCTTGTCATCTCTTCTCCGCGCTCCAAAAACGCTGGTGGCAATCGCCGTGCAGGTTGGGGAACGTCTTGGAATGGTACGAGTTCGCAGTCTTCAGCTTCCTTGAGCCCCACTTCCAGAGTGGCTTGCGTCCAACGATGATCTGGATGGGGATCTGGATGCAGATTGATCCATTTTCACCAGACGGTCTTGACAACAGTTAAACATGTTTTTACATTACCTATGTTTTCCTTCCGTTGAATCCGTCATTTACCGTGAGACCTCCTGGCTTTGGAGATCTTCGCATCTCTTCCTGGCCTCATTTTGCTCGTCATCCCTCATCCAGAAGTACAATGCAAAGTTCCAGCACCGCCCAATCTTCATCTTCATCATCATCCTCATCCTCATCCTCATCCCCTCCCACTCTCTCTCTCTCTGTTCTCCCGCACCCCCAGAGATTCGACTCCGCAGAACTCCGTTACGCCCTTCCTTCGGCTACGAAGGTCACTTCTTCCAGGGCTCTGCGGTCTCGGCGTGGCTGGGCTTCGCGTGCACCTTCCTGGCGCGGCCCTTCGGCGGCTTGGCGCTGGGCGTCATCGGCGACCTCTTCGGGCGGAAGGCGCGGCGCGTGACCGGGCGCGTGGTGGGTCCAAGCAGGGTTGGAAGCTATGCGGTGGGTGGAGGGGGGGAGTGAAGCTAAGAGTAGGATGAAGTATGATGAAGTGGATGAAGCCAATCTCGTCATGAGGTGATTTGTGACAATCAAAGGAGCGAGGTCGTCGGTTGCGGTGATTTTACGATACTTTTCAATCACCTAAGAATGCTCATCTCGGTCTTGTCTTCAGCATACTGGTCCTGGGTGCCGCTGAAGACAGTCCGGCTGCAGGGATGGTGGTTCCCAAGCCGCTTAGGGAGGTCTGGTGACTCTGGTGGTGCGTTTTCCACGTAACCATGAATCTTTCAGGGAGTGACTCATGGTTTCCCACCGAACAGTTCATCTATTGAATCTATTTGGAAGGTTTCACCTCATGCCGAAGAACCTCAACAAAAAGACACCTAAGACGTTCCCCACCATCCTGTTGCTAGGCCTCAACCTTTCTGTCCATCTTTGGGATGATGGTTGGCACTGTGGGGCAAGGCGCGCAAGTCCGGGCCGTGACACGAATGACTTCTCAGAATTTTCTGCAGTTTGGTCCATTCCAAATCGATTTGTCCATTAACCGAAGAAGAAGAAGGAGAAGAAGAGGAAGAAGAAGAAGAAGAAGGAGAAGCAGAAGAAGAAGAGGAAGAAGAAGAAGAAGGAGAAGCAGAAGAAGAAGAAGAAGAAGAAGAAGAAGAAGAATAACAATAAGAAAAATAAGAATAAGAAGAAGATCAAACAGAATAAGAAAAAGAAGTGCTGAACAAATCTTTTCGGGGTGAAAGTGTAGTTTTAGGTTGACCAAGTAGCATGAAACCCTTGAAGTGTGGCCGGTCCATTTGTGCACGGAACATCGCTTGTGACTTGTGATAGAAACAAAAGAGTAGGGTAGTCTTTATTTCGACACCCAATCGTCAGTCCTAGCAGTGGGAGGCTCACCTCACTCGACTCCAGGTCTACTGCCCACCTACCAGAATGGCCCCGTCTGGGGCAGCCTGGGTCTCACGCTGCTGGTGTTCCTGCGGCTCTTGCAGGGCATCTGCACGGGCGGCGAGATCGCGGCGGTGTCCACGTACATCACCGAGGTGGGCCCCAAGGATTCCCTGGCGCGCTCCATGCAGCTCGGTCTGAGCCCTTTTCGCCGCCAGCGGGCGCCGACCGGGTCGGTGTGGGGCGGGCGTTGGGCGTTCAGAAGCCGAGGGTGAACACGCCTCCCCGGAGCTCAAGAGGACCACCCGAGGAGATGGCGAGAAAACCAGGGGCTCCGAGGAGATTCGCAGGCTGCGAAATGCTGCGAATGGGCCGAAGACAGCGTACTGAAGACATGGATCCCAGGATGGGGTGTTCAACCGTCGTAAATTGAGGCCTTGCGGACCAGGTCAGCAGATCAACTCGTCGATTCTTCTGTTCGGCCTATCAGCTGGAGCTAGTGCTTCTGAGCAGGGACTTGTCTGGTGTTCGAAACGCTAATCCCGGAAGAATTTCAATCCTTTCTGTGGAAGGGTTGACCCTGGCTTTCACCATTTCGAACTCATCTTGGAACTGAGAAGACCTCAGTCCAGCTAGAACCGACTGAACTGCTTCCATGGGATTACGGTAACTGGAATTCCAATTTTGTCATATATATATGGTATATAGCTCCTCTTTCCTCGGTTTCTAAAGAGTCACCACTCCCTCGAGGAAGGACCACACACCAGCTCCACTTCTGCGGGTTAAAGTGGGGCTTGGGGTGCAGCACCACCGGTGCCGTAAGGATGTTGATCGGCATCACCTGCAACGTGGGGTTCCTGCTGCGCAGCCAGCGTCCTATGGCTTGGAACTCTTGGGTGAGGAGAAGATGAGCGGAGCGAAAGCGTCACATCCGTCGACGACGTGGGACACAACATGAAGATAAAGACGTTGCCACACTTCAATCAAGGTGAAATCAACCCATAGTGCCGTAGCGGCTGAACCCATCCTCACAATTATCAGAGCCTCCCCCAAAGCTCAGACCCGCCTCTGAGCTCAGACCTGGAGGAGTTATGGTTGGCGCTTGCCCTTCCTGGCAGCTTTGGTGCCAGGGATTGTGGCCACCTGCGGCCGGCACTGCATGCCGGAGTCCCGCAGCTTCCTGGACGCCGCCGACGCCCTCGTCGACGCCCCGCAGGGCGGGTGTGGGACTGGGGCGCCGGAGTCCTCTTCGCGCTCGCGGGAGGCCAGGAAGAAGATGAAGGATCTGGTGACGAGGTGAGACTGGGGATGAGGACTGGGGATGGGCCCGGATGGGGTTTGATCAGATCTGCGATCTGCGGATGAGGTCAACTGAGGGTGGGGGCATCCAAAAGATCACTTTGGGAGGAAGCAGGAGGTTGTGACCTCTTGGTGGCTTTGCTAACACCAAATCTTTTGCTTTTGGGAGAGGTTTTGCGTGTTTTGCTGTGAAGCGTTCGACTGGTTGATCCCGCCAAAAAGACTTTGAAGTGGCATTCCACAACAGCACCTTTACAGGCAGCTCAGTTACTTGATTGGGCAAAGGTAGGATGGAATGATGGAAGGCAGGACCTGCCTCCCATTGATAGTGAGATAGACCAGCTAGGTTCAATGCACGCAAACTTGCAAACGGCCAAGCAGAAGGGACCTTCCTTGCCTTAGAACTCCCCCAGAGTGGGTGAAAGCAGCCATGTGGTGAGTGTCGGTCATCTGCAACAACATCTGACGTCGCACTTTTCTCCACACTGCCATCGAAACTCGCTTCTTCTGAGGTACTGGGCCACACTCTTGTTGGGCATGGGAGGGGTTGCCTCAGTGGCTGTCTTGCAATATGGATGCTTCGTCTGGTGCAGCGTGCTGCTGCAAAAGAAGGGCACTGATGCGACGATTCTGCTGGTGCCTGGGACGGCGGGAACAACAGGTTCGCGAAGTCAGCTGCTCCTGTGTGCCATCTTCGGAAGAAGAACAACAAGAAAATATGAAACCCTATTTATATACAATACTGAAATTGACCACACACGTCTTTATGCCTCATCTTGGAACAGGCAGAGAACAGAAACGCAGTCTGTTATTGCGGAACAAATCCTGGAGATGACTACGACCTTCCAAGGGTTCCGATCCTGACGACCAACGAACCACGTTAAGTGCCCAGCTGAAACACCGCACGATAAAGACAACGGACAAAAAGGGTAGCGGCGGGTAGCGAGTTCTTTTTCCTTCTGCACCCAGTTGGTAGCAAGGATGAGCCAAAGACCAGAGTTTTGGCGTGAATTTGGGGTGGTGCATGACTTTCTGTGATTGAACAACTCAAAATAAATTCTTGTCCTTTTCAATTGGGCAGTCATTTCCACCAATTTGGGATGGATACTCACACTCGGGAATCTGCGTGCTGGTTTCTTAAGAAATTCACGTTTGTTTGGACACATTTAGGGCGTGCTTCTGGGGTTCCGTTTTCATCAACTCTGTTCCATGTTTTGTACCTGGATACCAACCTGTATGGACATCATTCCCTTCCAACGTCGGACTTCTCTTGGGCCCTCCGGTGCTTCGTCCCCTCCCCCATGGCTGGTCTCTGAGGCCTCGGGTGTGGCAGCTCGCGTGGGCTCCATCGTCTTGGCGCCCATCATGGCATGGCTCGCAGATCTGCAGGGCATCGGGCGCCTTGGGACCGGCGTGTGCTCGCGCGTCGCGTGGCGTGTGCTCGCGGGGGCGGGGGGGTGAAGGTGTGAAGAGGTGCGGTGAAGAGACCCAGACCACCTCCTGGCCTCTGATGGGTTGGGTTTTTTTCTCGCTAAACTTGGGTGGATGAGAGGGGGGAGACTGCAGAGACGCTGTTTGAACATGGTTGAAATAAGCGTGGAAGGGGAGTTCACCACCTGCCTGGTATTCGGAAAAGGGTCATTCAAGGGGGTCATGCCATCGTAACGATGATGATTGCAGGGAGTACCCCCAAGTGAACTGAAGTGACATCAGCTGTATCCACCGCTTGGGCAGGTAAGGGAAACGAAAAGGAGCGAACTGAGTTCTTTGAAAGCCCCCTTACATCTGTTTTGGGCCGAAACAAAATCCGTTCCCTTTTTGGTGGACCCAGCGAAGTGATCCTTCAAATTCCATCGACCTGGTTGGAGCAGTTGGGAGCGGTTTGGGGGGAGGATGGCCATCTGGGGCAAAGGTCAGGTATAGGTTGAAGGTCTTTTGGGTTTTGTGAAGCTTGCGATGAAGAACCCGAGTTTGGCTGCCTGGTTGGCCTGTCTTAACAACTCGACAACCATCAATAGGTTCCCCTCCTGGGTTCCCAAGCATTTTACCAACAATCGACCACAACATGGACTCTGACTCGGCCTTGTAAACTAATGGAAGAGTTGGGTGTGGGGAGGGTGGCCACAACACCCTTTGCTTTTCTGCATGCGCGGCCGCGAAGCGGCGCGGCGAGCCGCACGGGCGGGGAGAACTCCCACACGGCGAAGCGGTGCGGCGGAAGCCGGTGCGAGAAAGAGCATTGTTCTTTTTTGTTCAAGAGACATGGATGCCCTTGATAGACAGTTTAAAGTTTAATGGAGTTCCAGATCTCTTCTCGAACTGTCCAAAGAGTCTGGTCATCAGGTGCACTTAGTACCGTTTTGGGGCGCTCCAAGTGGCGCTCTTGCTGTTAGCATCTGTTAGCTGTTGGCAGAAGATGACCAGGGTTTTTCGGGCCCCTCGAAAACCGAGGTGGAATCTCTTTTGGGGTTCCTTTGTGATGTTCCTCCTGGGCCTCCCATGCTTTCTGGCAATGTTGACGCACTTTGACAACTTTGCCGTCGTGCTTGCCAGTTACGGCCTAGGCGAGAATTCTCGTTGCGTGGGTGAGTTTGGTGTTTACTGTATACTTGCATTTGAGTTGCCCAGATGGTATAATCAGTTCTTTCTCCTCCTCTTCTGCCAGACTTGGTGGTTTGGAGGTTGGTACTCTATCATCTGAGTGCAACCCTTTTTCACATAACCTGCACCAATTTCCCGAAAAGAAGATGCCCCAAACTGAAATGCCCAGTTTGGGAAGAAGCGGAGGTCCGGCAGGACGAGCCGCTGGGAGACGAGTCATGCTGCGCAGGCTACGGCTTTCTTCTCTCTGCCCTTGGCATGACCTATTTCCTCTATGTTGTGGAGCTCTTTCCGGTTCATGTACGCAATGCTGGGGTGGGCCTCAGCTACAACATCGGCATGTGTTGCTTGTGCTTCTTTCAGTGTTTACTGTAGTTGCTGGGAGGCACCGCAAAGCAGGACAAGGAACCTCTGGAAAAGCACTGATGATCTTGACCGTGGTTTTTGGAAATGCACAACAACTGAACAAAAACATACCAAATTCTAGTTTGCACTCAATCTTCTTCATTAAGCTTCTTGATTCAGTATATATTTTTTTGTTATATTTTTACTTTTTTCAGGTGCTAAAAGGCACCGATGCCGCACCAAACGTACCAAAAGCGGTGGCTCGAAGGACCTGCGGATTGGGTTTTCTTTGGGAGTTGCTTCGTCGAAGGAGCTGCGAAAACTGAAAGCGCCCGCAGCTGAATGGTCGACTGGGCTTTTCAAAGTAAGTCCACTGGGGTCCATCGTTCGGTTTGGGCACTCAGCCTAACCACCGCCGCTGGAGGTTGTTTCGGTGGTTTCGCTCCGATGATCTTCGAAGCCAGCTTCGCTGCTCAGCTTTGACCAGTGCTATTCTGCCATTCTGGTGCAATCAAAACAGCACACGAGTTCTCATATTGGGGTGGTGTTGAGGAATGTTGCCCCCAAATTTTAAAGATAACTTAGATTGCTAGGCTGCTAGGGGATGGGATGACAAGTTGGGGGACAAGGGACGTGACAAGTTGACGGATGGGATTGCTTGGAGCCCTTTGGAGATGTAGCTGATGGGGGGGGAGCAAACGACGACCAAACGCACATAATAACACATATCATATCATATCAACTCATATCACATATAAACACGTATGATAAGATATATATATATATATATACTGTAACTAAACACACAAACAAACCATATCTTTGTATGTCATATGATATTTTGTTTGATGGTTTTGTTTCTTTCTGCCCGCTACGCAAAGATAACAGCATCCAGCACCATAGATAGTCTTTTACTAAGTATTTGTTGGGTGATTGACAGAGGGGATACCCCCAAGTGAACAACCAACAGGTATATGGTACCAAACTGACCCCTGTAGTATTCCCAAAAGGATATCACTGTCCTACACAGCCCGATCATTCACAGGACTCCATGTGTAGCGGAGTTGATCTCACCCTTCGTTTCCCACACATGACAAAGTAGAATCTACACTCTGTCTTCTTGGTCAACATCCCTTTAATGGCCCAGGAACATTACACATGGGCTCCTGGTTGGCTGATCTCATTGGCGGGACTGATCACCAGCTCCACTGTGATCATTGGCTTGATGCTGCAGAGGAACCAGAAGATCCAGTTGGCCTACATCAGGCCTTGCATTTAAACCTGTGCGCATTTTGAAAATGCATCACGTAAGGATCGTCACACCGAGTCAGTGTTTTTTCTTGAGCGGCCGGCCTGGCATCCATCTTTTGGAGCTTCAATTTTCGGCCTCAAGAGGTTTTCAGATCTAAATACAGTCGGTGAAGAATCATACACGAAAATGCAGGAAAACTGCCAAAAACACGGTTTATCATATTGTTTTTTCTTCTCTTAGTCTTGTCGTTGCTCGCACGACGCAGTTTTTGTATCCTTAGGACATAGGCATAGACCGATAGACACATGATAGCTTAGTAGAACCATAATATTATATTGTATTGAAACTCTCTACCTCGCAAGGGGCCGACCATAAATGTCCATCAGGCTTGGCCACTTTGCATTAGTTGGCCTCCTCTCATGACACACATCCAGAAAGGGTACTACATCTGAGCCTGTCGTGAAACGAGATATGGGGGCGTGTTCCATTGTGAGGCCCCCATAGTTTTGGGTGACGTGTTGGCGTTGTGGTTGAGGAAGCTTTGGGTTTGGTTGTTGAATGACTCTATGTGCAATAAACTGCAGTTGTGTTATCACGCCTGCGGGCTGACTTTCTTTGCCCGGAGGCGCCGCGCAACGAACTCATGGGCAGTGTCCTCCGCATGACCACCATACACCACCAGGGCAAACGTTTTTTTCTTTATGACCTGACAACAACGGGCTCACAAGCCAAAGTCATTTGTCTGTGTTCGTTCATCTCTGCCAATCCGTTTCCGTCCTACTTGCTTGTCTTTCTGTATCTCTCTCTGTCGGCATTATTTATGTCTGTATGATTATGTATGTTTGTACGCGTGTGATTTATATTAACGTGAAAAAACAACACACATAAACATTGATCGCGAGAGACGCAGTATCACTCCGTTTTGCCATGCGCGTGGTTTGTTCAGAAAAGAAGGCCCCGCAAAGTACCCTGTATACGGTGCCCCGGGCCATACACAGACGGTATGCATCTCACCATGTACGGTGTCGTGCCGAGCCTTTCGGACCCTGGAGGCCTCGTGATCGAGCGAACGAGCGAACGAGCACAACCGAAAGACCAGAAGGATCAGATCCACATGGTTTCGCAAGCAGAAACATCGGAACACAGACAACTAGAAGCGAACATAGGTTTTCGCGATGTTCGTGTATGTCCGCGGATTCTCGTTGAACAGTTTCGCCTTTGCACTAACCTTTAGCACTAATTTAGAGAACACCAAAGACCATGTTTCACGTCTTCGGTGAGACCGGCGCGACCACGTCTCACCGCGTCCGGACGGTCAGGCCTCAACCGTACTTCTCTCCTTGCGGATGTGCGAAGGTGGCGGTGGTGAGAGAGAAAGCTGCTCAGGACTTTGTAGAGGTCGCTCCTCAGCTTTGAACTAGAGCTGCCTGCAAGAGGTCCTTACTTGCATTCGTCAATATCAGTTTGACCTCATAGTTTCTTCGGTTTCCATTTTTTGCCAGAGTTTGCGAGCTCGGCGAAATCGCAGACTCAAATTCAGGACCAGGAGTGTTTGGCAGAATCCATGACCCACTGGTCAATTATGATGCTTAAAAAACGCAGATTATGCTGGCTTTTCAGTCATGACTGGAACCACAATCCTTTTTTGGAACCCCAGCCTCAAGCAGTTCACCTGTTGAACATGTTTGTTCACCATGTTTCTGGTGAAACTTCTTTGGGGTTCCAGCTTGGAACTTGTTCTCATCCAAGCCGTTCATTCCGCTCTGGGATTTGTGCCAAAGAGCCACGCACGCGGCGCTTCACCGGGTCGAAAAGTGTGGAGGCGACCGGGCGATTTCCGGACTCACCGTGTGGAGAATATCCCGGACACTCCATGTACCGAATATGTCGTAATATTTACCTACACATTGGGGTGGTTTTAAAGATGTTTAAGGGTCTATGTAGGTATACATGCCATACATGGAGGGGTATGGACCTATGGATGAACAGAACCTGCTGATAGCGCGTAGACCACACCCCACATGGCCACCAATCACCAGTGATCGCGTGCGCATCGACCGACCGGAGGGGTCCGCGGATCGACCGGACCGTGGGGCCCGTGGCGGTCCGCCAAGCGGACCTACAGGTACAGGTACACCCTGGTGTCTGACGATCCCATGCAACCTGACAACCCCTGGTTGGTAGAGGAGGAGGAAAGTCGTCTTCCATGGGACCAGGACGGACGGACGGACCCGGGTCTATGTGGTCTTGACAAAAGGGAGTGTAGTGTTCCAGCTGGTCATCTGTCATCCGACATGCAGGGGCAGATGGCACTCCAAACCAAAGTAAGTGATTTGCGGAACGGTGGCACGGATTTGTTTGTGCACCTCTGTTGGTCCATATACATCTGCTTCTGAATGGCACTGCATCTAAGCCAACTTTTGCAGTAAAAACCATACATGCAAATGCCAACCTCAAAAAGGCCCTTGTCAAGCAGCTTGTATTCTTGCAGAACGTTGTTTACCCCATGAAATGACATGGTTTGACAGCCTTACAATGCTCTGGCTGAAGTACAACATCCTGTGGCACTGAGGATCCAAAGGGAAGCTTGTTGTGGGTCTTTATGGATGGGCCTGGATCGGGCATTCATTCATTCTTCGAACCATACCATCGGTGCAGGTGGCATACCATTCGCCTCCGGCCGTCGGGGGGCGGCCGTCGGGTGTTTCGCCCGCAGCAGCTCGGTGGTTTCGCCCGCAGATCTACAACTTGCGCACGACCTGGGATGATGCATGTGCTCAAGCGGTCGGTCGAGCTCAGAGGGCGTTCCAGGGGATCCCATGTTGTTTCGACGGAGCGTCGGGTTTTTAGGGGGGGCTCGGTCGTAGGATTGAGGGAGGTGTTCTTTCATGGTTTTTCCCATGTCTTTCCCGGTGTTTTTTGCAATATTCCTAGATTAAGGGTACATGTTAGTGCCCAGATCCCCTCCATTTTTGGGACCAAGTGACAGGGCTTCCTAGCAGCATGACCCAAAAGGAACCTAGGAAGTGCAAGGGGAAAGATCCAAAGTAGGCGGCCGATATTTGTTTTGCAAGGGGCAGCCCAATGCTGGACCTTTTGTAGCAAACAGATGCCCTTCAACTTGCAACATGTGCATGAGAATTTGGATACTAAGCAAATCTGTTCAGTTCTTTATCCATCGCAGGTGAGTGAACTTCGCAGAAGCGTCTAAATTCGTGCAGTGTACCACGTGCCTTCAGCTCGTCACTAGCAGCGACCGGGGTGCAGAGCATTGGAGAGCCATGTTGTAGCCGCATTTTTTGACATTTAAATTCCATGCATTCTGAATCTCTGTAGGCAGATGAACCGCTGCTGCTGTTGTTTTACATGTCAATCACTTCCGTCGCACCGAACCGTGGACACCGCTGTTTGGTGCGCCCGAGGAGCGCACGTCGGCCACGGTGCCGTACTGCACGGAGGTGTGGGGATCGAAACGCATGGAGCAGATGTTGGAAAAAGGCCAGGAGCGACTAGTAGCGATGGCCTCCAACCTAATGATGGCCTGAACCCCAAGTAGCGTCCTTGTTACTAGTAGCTTGAAAGATCTTGAAAGATCATGTAGACTCTCTTGATCAATAAACCCAGCCATGATCTCTTGAGGTGTTTCAACTCAATTGAGGGGGAGTTATATTGATCAAGAGTCCACAAGGTCCGGGACCGGGGTGTCGGGTTTCTTAGCTCACTGCTGGAAGAGCGTGACCCCGAATGGTGCGGAAGGTGTTGATGAGAAGGACGAAAGATGATGGAAGACCAACCAATCTTGGAGTTCTCAACGGATATTTGCTGCACCTGCAGCAGGATTGAGAGATGTTTTGGGATTTGAGGCAATCCGCAGCTGAGGTTGAGGTTGAGGTGTGTTTGGGAGGTCCTCCGAAAGCACCAGATTTGGGGTCTAATAGCTTCGACTTCGCGTCGCCTTGAAGTAAACCCATTTCCTTCCCAACAGCACTCGGGTCACTGAAGTCCAGGACTCTCACTCCCACCAGGGTGGAGAAGTTTTCCCCCCTCGCCGCCATCGCCATCTGCGCCATCTGAGCAGACCTCGAGGTGACGATTGCTCGAGCGTGTATCATCTTGGAAGCCATCTTCAGTAGCTTCATGGCCCAGGGTGCCCAGTGCGAAACCACCGCGAGGGACGAACCGCGGCGAGACCGACCGGACCTCGACACCCAAGGAGGGTTTGTGGCCTTCGAAATCTGTTGACGACCCGATTCGGGGGTGAAACAGAAGACCTTACCATCCAAGTCGACTGGAACAACGAGAAGACGAACGTGACACAAAGGACGTTCCACTCCGGTTGACCGCGTGCCACCGAACGGCTTGGGCGTTCTCTCGACCGAGGCGGCGATGGTGATCCTGGCACGGCGCTTCTCGCCGCTACTGCTGCTGGCGGCAGTGGGCTGCGGTGTGATTGCCGGGGGCCACAGGATGGGATGGTTTTGAGAGGAAAGAGGACAGGAATCAGGAAGCCTGCATTGTTACGTGATGTGACATGGATTTGCACTCGTTCTAACGTGTTGAGATGACATTGCAAGAATGAGGAGACGCATCAGGAGGCGAAGCGTTGCACTAATTCAGGATGCGGTCTCCTCAATCACCGCATTCAATTGCTACGGTAGGCTGTATCTACTCGAGTTTTCTCTTCACCTGTCACCGGTCTCTTCTTCGCCCGCTTGGTCGACCGGGCCGTTGCGCGGGTTCGCCCGACCGGCCCGTGTGCGCCGAGGGAGTTCTCTTCGCCTTTGGTGCCGCCGGCTTAGGACCACTCGGGCGGGAAGAGTCAGGGACCCCAAAAAGCGCAAGGGATGATGGGGAATCATGTCTTGTTCGTCACAAAGGGGGGTGGTGTTTAGTCCCATCCAGTGAGCGGATGTGACAGCGGCGCCCCTAACCTCCATGGAGGATAGCACCGCTTTGGAACAGCTGGTTTAAGTTTCTTTTCTTCTTTTTCTTCGAGCACAGTGTAAGAGGTGAAGCTTATTTTTGAAGATCATGCTGGCGCAATAAGATACGACCTAGAAGGGGGTGTGGAAAGAAGGACTGCAGATCTACTTGGGTGGTGAAGGCACAGTCAGTTTCGTTTTGTAGAACAGGCCCAGTCAGGCGGTTCCTGATGTTCAACACTTATTCTCCAGTGCCTCCAGTGGTCTCAGGTGAGTAAAGCCACAGGCCACCCACTAAGTGATGAGGAAAAGGATTCTTTTCCTGAGTTTCGAGGTGCAACCCCCCAGGCACTTTGGCCAGAGGTGAGTCCACAGCCTCAGTTTGGCCAGAACGAGCAAGCGACATGATGGAGGTAGCTTCAACTAGCACCTAAAACCATGACACAACTATTTGAGTTAGGGGTTGTCATGCTTTGGTGCAATGTTCAGTTGTCATCGGTGAAGAAAACAGTTCGCGCCGCTTCGCGCTGCTTCGCGCCCTCAGGGCTCACACTTGAGAAGCCGAAGTAAACCCATCGCCCTGTTTCAGCAAGCTCCGTAAGCTTGTAAACGATATCAATGATATCAATGCCATAGCAGACGTTTTTGTTTCGTCTTTTTTTTCTCCCTTCCTTCCATCATGAATTCACCGCGAAGGCGTTTTTCTGGGCTCGTTCTGTTTCTCTCGGAAAGACGCCGGGGCTTGCAGGAGTCATGACGAGCACCACGGGCCTTGGAGGCTACGGCTTCCTGCTCCTGGGGGGCTCCTTAGCAGGGCAGCCCAGAGGATTGGTCGAGTGGTCGGACGAGTGCATTGTATGTTAATAGGGAGACCCTCCAACAGAGGGGTTCGGTATGGTTTGGTTCTATTTCCCTTCTTCCAGGCACTCGAACTGGGAGGTCTCCCTATTTCATCGGTGCACCATTTGGATTTTCAATTTTGGGCCGTTCAGGCTGCAGGAACATGTTTATCTCCTGCAGAGGACCACATGGACCCCCCCCGCCCAAAACCACTGGACTTGGTGGAACATGCTCTTCTACCGGTGAAAAAGACCGGACCCATGTTAGTCATCTGAATTGGTTCAACTCTCCATTCGTCACCGAACCGGATCTCTGCCTTGACCGCTGCGATGTGGGACCAGGTCACCGGCGGCCTCGGGGTGGCGGCCGTCTTCTACGCGGCGGCCAAGGCGGAAGACGAGGTGTTCACCAAGAGGGACCAAGACAGTCTGGGCAGTTGATGAACAGGTGTGAGACTTTTGAGCCTTTTGAGATCCCTTCGTCTTTTCGTCTCGTCTTGTGTTAAGAAGAAAGCGAGGGTCGACAGAGAGCGAAGCGAAGCACCTGGTCCGGTTCAAGATCAGATCTGGTTTGGTTTCTGGGAGGGCAGATTGGGTGGGTTGAAGCAACCAAGCCACCTAGGTCTCAAGATCTCAAAGGTTTCTCCCAAATCAGGTGCAGGGTGCTCTGGGGAGCCTACCAATACAGCCAGACCACCCCAAAGGGTTTTGCTTGGAGATCGGGCCACATCTCTCAAATGAACAGTAGTTTGGGGTCAAACGAGCATCTGGGAGTCCCAAAAGACTATCGGATTTTCAATGGATTTCAGTGTGAGTTTCTTTTCATGTCCATAATTGGGCTTCAAGAAGCCTGTAGTGCTTCTCATTCAGCAAGGAATATCACGGGTGTAGACCTGATCCCACACCATCCCAGATCAGTTATCTGGTCAGAAGATTGCTCCTTTTCAGAGTACCAGGGCTTTTGACGGAGGCCGCACTAAACATCCGCGTTCATCCAGCAAAGCCAGTGTCATTCTAAATCTTCACTGTGGATGAACCACAGATAGATCAGAGAAGCTTACTCAAAAGCCACTGTTCAAACAAGAAGGGAATGTGACAGCACATGAGTTTGGCGAGTCTTACTGGTTGTTTGGGTCCCAGAGCAGGGCCGCACGATCTTTTTCGAGTCTTTGGGATACGGAAGCAAGCTCCAAAACGTGGCGCACGCTGCGTGGCCGGCGCGCGCACGGGTTCAGGCCATGCCTCCACCGCCTGGCTGGGAAGCTCGTTCTTTTTCCCATTTCCGTGGAACGCTTCTGAAGGGTTTGCTTGGGGATTCCTGCTGCTCACGGATTTTTCTGCTTTTTTTTCCAAGGATTCCGTGCGCCCACCGATGGTTTTCTGCCTAAAATCCCGAAGAACCATGAAGAACCCAGATTCTTCAAACACCTTCAACACCAGGTCCACCGTTTCAGTTCGGCGAACACCGCCCACTCGGGATTCGTTCCCGCAAGCGATCGGCCGAGATGTGCTAAACCGGCTGCACTCATGGGGACAGGGGTGTGGCTTGTATTCTATAGTTCAATTTAAGCAAAGGATCAGGAGCACGACCGATTCACACTGTGCGAAACGGTGAACCATAAAAGGCACTGTAGCTTTTGACCTTCACGTACTTGGAGAACCATGACCTCCACAGTACGGACTCCACTCACAGCTCACGACTCCCGTCCCGTTTTCTGCGGTCGGACCGGTCACCGGTGACCGGTCGCTGCCGAGATGGGCTGGAAGAAGTACGGAAGACACGGATGTCGAACCTCCAGGAGACTCCAGACGTACTCAGAGGATGACAGGTCGAGCAGACTCGTTCTTTTGGACTCAGTCTTTTTGGGAGGGTGGTGTGGTTGTGTTGAAGCAGTCTGCATAGCACTCCAGCACTCCTGCTTTTGGTGATTTTTTCAATCAGGGCTTCAGAATGGTGGTTCGATTGATCGCATCGATCGATTTTCCAGAGAAGAATGAACCAACCTTCTCAGGTATGGACAGTGGACATATCAACAGCCCTGAGGTCCGGGCTTTTTGCCGTTCCTTTTTGACCCCGAACCCCGTTCCCGCTGCTGTGCTGCTGTGCTGTCGCCGAACGGAAGACCGTTCGAGGAGTCAACGCAGAGAGAGAAAGATCTCGCTGCGATGCTGGAAGAGAATGTCCAGAGGCCGGTTCCAGGGGACCGGTCCAGACGAGTAAGGGAAAGCTTCGCCTCGTTTTGGCTGGCGGGGTGGGTGCATGGCTTCGTTTTGGTGAGTCTCAAATGTACCATATCAACACATATCATGACATATGCACATATACCCAACCGCCAACCAGATGAAACTCCAATGGCATGGGCCATAGCGTTGGATTGTACTGGGACCTCCAGGTCTCCCGCCGGATGGTTTTGGCTGCTAGCAGTTCAAGAAATTTCCACTTGGAGTGCAGACTCTAGACTCTAGACCAAAGTTTCTTGATCTGTGGCTCTTGCCAACAGCCTCCAACCTGCGCGAGAGAGGCGAAGAAGGGAGTCAGAGGCTGAATCGCTGGGTTCCCAGTGTGGACGCGTGAGCTGAGGATGTGGGGTGTTTGGTAGCAGGATGTTTGACCTGCCCTTTGTACTGAAGATCCACAAGGAGACCCTTAAGCCATTGAGGTGTGAGATGTCGCCATCGTCGTCATTCACTCTTTTGAAAGAACAGTCACGATTGGCCTCATCCACTCTTCCGAAAAGAAGTACCGTATGGGCGGGTCCACTCGGCCATCAGCTCCACATAGACCATCTGGAGTCTTCCAGAATCAATATGACTAAAGGTGACCGATTGTGCCCTAGTTCATCCGTGCTGTGGATCTGTAAAACCACCTGTTCTGGTCGAGTGTCCATCTGGAAAAAGCCTGGAAGTGGCCTCGCTCAAAAAGTCTGACCATGAATTCATCAACAGCAGGTGAGCTCCATATCGTGCGATGTCTTTACTCTAGACGAACAGCCCATTCATGGGTCCAGGAGTTAATATCTCTCTCTCTCTCTCTCTCTTTCTTTTTCGTTTTTTCTTCTAATCCATATCCAATCCACACCCAACTTCACTCCACCCTCTGTGCACCGCCGGACAGTCCGAGGGGCACCGGACAGCCAGCCGGACCACGCACCGTCCGGAGAGTCCCGGCGCGGGACTTAGACCCTGCGGAGGAGAGCTCCAGGCTGAGATTGCGTGGATGGAAAAAAGAGATCCTGAAAAAGGAAGGTGGTCATGGTCCAGTTCAGAGTTCGTGAAATTCCAAGCTCAGGCCCAAATTGGGCCGGCTTTGTGATATGTTTTTGTTTTGCTTCGCGAATGGAGTTGTTTTTCTTGCCAGACTTGAGAACCCGCAGGTGATGCTTCAAAAGGTCATCTTCTGGACCCAGGCATGGCTCAACATCTTCGACGTGTGACTTCCGAGTGCACAACAAGACTTCGACGTGTGCTCCACAGCCCCAAGACTCCAAGACCCAAATGGTGAGTGATGTTTCCTCTCTTATGCATCATATCTAGAAGTTCTTGCACTGGTGAATTCCTATTCATTTGCAATCAGGATCGGCTCCGACTGGTCCGCTGCCGTGGAACCGCGCAGCCAGGAGAATGAGGAGAACGAGGAAGCGGAACTGCCCATGGAGTTGCTGCAGGCGGAATCTTTGGCGTTTCACGGCGTTGGACTCTCTTCTTCCAATTTTTGTTTGTGACTACTCCGGCGAAACGGAGCTGCACAGCGAAGGCACAGACAGTGCGAGTGACCGGTGTTTGCGCAGGCTGCCTATCAAGAGATTGATGAAGATGGCAGTGGTTCAGTGACGCTAGGCCAGGTGACACACCCGGTTGCACATGGTGGTGCAATAAGAACTCATGTTGCAACGTTCTCACACTCGCCCAAGTGAGTTACTGCATTTTCAGAAGGGTTTTACGAAACTCGTCACCTTCTCCAGTCGCCCTATTCCAAAACAACCCAAAACAACCCAAAACAACCCACGTTCGCTCCCTCGCAACGCTCACGCGGGAACGACAGATCCATGGAACGAACCGGACGACAAAAGCGGGTGAGGGCGACCTATTGAGACGACCTGGTCATCAGCTGTGGGTCAAACTGGCTGACCAGGGTTTTTCCAGGCTCCCAGGTTTACGGTCCACTTACCAGGGTATGGCTCGCGGCTCCAGGGACCAAGACCCACAGCCATATGTTGCGATATGTTGTCCATCCTTCACATGACATGGCAGACTTGTCGACTTGTGAGTTCTTTGGACCCGGCTGCGCAGCGGTTTTGGACGAGCGCATCTTCGGTCCTCATCCTCAGCTTCTGGCCATCTGAAGAAAGTAACCCACAAAGCATAGGGAGGCAAGTTTTTGGGATGGCTTTGGATGACTTTGGATGCATAGGGAGGCATAGCGGATGAACCTAGGGATGACCTTGGATGCCTGAACATCCTGGAACACTGAAGACCAGCCAACCAGGATGTTTTCTTTTTTCCATCTGGTGGGGAACTCCCAATCGAAGATCGAATCCATCACCATCCCGTAGGGCATCCGAAGAAGCAGAAGCTGAGTATTGGATCATTCTTGGAGTGTGACAGAGACGGGCTCAATCAGATGACTCATCCCCTGCCTGGAGACCATGAGGGATCTTTCCTCCAATTTGGTTGCCCCTGGCCAGAATTTGGGGGTCATTTGACATCGCATTCTCGTCAATTCGCATCCATCAGTTCTTGGGCGAGTGGGTTGGAGACCACCTCCATATCAGACCGGGCTCTTTTTTGGCTCGGTCGCGTGCGGTGTTCGGTCGCGGTTCGTGCGGTGTTCGCTGTTCAGTTGAGCTGGTGGACGCCTTGAAACTCTGCGGGCTCAATGCCTCAGAGGCGCGGTTGAGCTGGGTGGGCGATCTAGAAAGTGGGGGAGGACAGTGTTTGTTTTCATTGTGGGTGATCTTTGATGATTTTTGTGTTGATATTGTATATATATATTATATAGATTGTTTATATATAAATATTATATTACATGTTGATCATTGTTTGATTCACGATTCCCAACACGCATCTCGTTCTCATTGTGTACCCCGGACTACATCTCGTTCCTTTCACTCCAGCCGGGTTGCAGGGCTGAGGAGAGCAAGCTCCATATCAAATGTATCCCCGTATCGCTTCGCGGATAGATTCTGAAAACAGGAATGTTGGAAGTCTCTGAGTAGAGCTGGTGAAGTGCGATGACGTCCACCTGGGTTGTTATGTTTTAGGTGGTGCACCATCATATTTTGGGACAGCTCCAGGTGTGTCCAGGGGACTCGCAACTTGGAGTCGCCTGGCTAGTCATACTGGCGCAGCGTTGCTAGTCAGGCGGCGGCGACCACCGTGATGCAGGAGATCGACAAGGTCGCCCGGTGCTTTGTGATGGATTCGTTGCTTGTGCGTAAGGTGGCCCGAAAAGCCTCTGGATTGGATTGGATTGGTGGTTGCCACCCTCGAAAGTTCCTTAGATAATGGGACATGTGACATGACCCTCTAAGAACAGGTACGACTCGACCTATTTTCCAAGGTACTTTGAGACTCCAGGTTTTTGCAACAACTTTGGAGGATTCCTTTCGTACTTTCTTTTATTGTCGGAGTGCTTTGCGTGAGGATGCTGTAGGATTTGTTTGGTGGCATGTTTGGGAAGAACGATTGTTTCTAGCGTTTATTGATGCAAGACATCCAGAAAGCCAGCAAACATTCATGGTGCCTTTGGAATTCTAGGTGCTGTTTCTCCGGCCCAAAATTTCTTTGTGCGTGTCGTGATGCCCACGCCTGTGCAGAACATGAACGGCACCATTGACATTCATGAGTTCGTGATGTTCTTCAGGACTGGCCAACATTGGCATGTGGCTAAACACTCAACCAACACCTGTAAATCCACGGAACATGTGTGCCAATCTATGCCACTGGCTTTTGGTTCACTGAAATATCGTGTTGAGACTCCTGGCATGGCCTGGCAATATAATTAGTCGTGCTCTTCATGAAGACATTCTATGTGCTTGACTCATCAGAGTCTCGAGGGTGTCCTCGAGTAGATATGCAGGGTTGGCAAACACGCATCCTGAGCCAAGTTGAAAAACATCAGTTTGAGGCAAAGTGAACGGCACCCTTTGAAGAATCAGACAGGAGAATTGATAGAACTCGTGAAAGATCCACGTGTCCATTCCAAAAAAGACTACGGTGTCTTTTCTCCCATCACCTGTCCACTCCGTTTCATTGCTTCGCTTGTCCCGTCCGCATCTCCCCGCACGCCCCTCGGACCCGAATCGGCCGCCGTTTCTCGACAAAGGATCGATCCGTTTTTCCACGTCGGATGGTTCACGTTGTATGAAGTATCACATGGAAGAACCTGATGATACGTCGGTATTTGTGCAAGTTACCAGGTGTAATACCACCAGTACAGGTCCTATGATAGGTCAGAGCTGATGCTTCTGACCGGTGTATTGCTGCAGTGTGCTAATGTAACTCTTGGCGCAAACGAGGTAGCTCATCCGCTGGTGGCCAACAGACTGTAGCTTGACCCACGAAGCATCGCCGCTTTCGACAGGACGCTGGAAGAGATGACCCGCTTCCAGCGGAAGACACAGCAACGAGCACAGGCGAGTCCGAGATGAGACTCTCATGAGCACAGTCCGTCAAGGTAAGTATACTGTCATTTAATTCATCTAAAATTAATACAGTATATATATATATAGTGATTATAGTCATCGGATGGGATTACAGAGTATGTCATTGATCCACAATAGTATGTCATGGTCATCATCAGTAATCATCGAAAATCATCGAAAAACTCGAAGAACGCCATCGCCCCAGTTCCTGTCTTATGTGCTGAACTTCTGCTTCCTTCTTCACATCATCCTGGTGGGCAGGGGACTCAGACCAACACCGGTCGCGACCGGAGAGGAGTTCCGAAAGCGAAGTTCCTCCGTGAAGTCCATGTCCTTCAGCCGTGGCTCGTTTGGCTCATTTGGCTCCTTTTTTCCTGTTGACATGGACATGGGGAAGGGAGATGATGCGAAGGGTGATGCTGTGCATGCTTTTGCAATTGCGATTGCACAGCCAACGCTGATCATGGACTTGCCGAGGCGTTCTGCTCATGATCTTCATCAGAATGGATGAGGACAGCTTTTATCCATTCATAACTTCCGAGCTCTGTTGGTCAAATCGAGCATCTTGCCGCTTTAAGCTTTGGAGCAAAGACCCTGAACTGAAGCCCCGAAATCCAAAGTCAATCCATCAACAGTCGTTCTCTTTCCTTCCTCACCAGGCTCACCGTTGCTGTATTTGTTCATCGTCGGTTTCTCGCACAGACGTGGCACATTCTCGGAGGCCACTGGTGGGGACACCTATCCAATCCTTCGGAATTGCTTGATGGTCTTCTCCATCGGCGGGGTCCCCAAAGCCCCGCCCGAGGGAATTTGCGGTCGGCAGGAGAAGGAGAGTGTGTTGGTCCGAAATGGCCTGGGGATGGTAGACGCTAAAGGACGAAAACCACTGGAAGGCTGGGCCTGGTATAGGGATATCCCATTTAGATGCACAATGTAGATGATGTATTCTTTGGCAACGTCTTTGGGTTATGCAGCACGCTGCATCTTGACTCATCATGGTGGATCGGTTGAGCTCGAAACCCGGGAAGCTTATACCCAGATGTATCCGGCGGTATCCGACCTGAGCATCTCAGATGTTTTGGCGGGACCCAGGTCTTCAATCAATCAGAGCACTTTGTTGACTCGCCCGACTCATGGAAGTGCTGCGTTTGGGACGACTGACGTCGTGATTTCCAGCACTTTCTCCCAGTGAAAGATGCCCAGGCTCTCTCCTGATGTTCGCCCAACATCCCTCCTTGTAGCTAGCCCATCGCAGCGACTCTGGCAGGCCCCCCCCCCGGTTGGGTGTACACCCAGCAGCGGTACATGGTCAACACACATCCTTCCAGCTTCCAGGGTTGATTTGTTCGTCTGCCCTGATCGGAACTATCTCAGTTGAAGAAGGAGTTTAAGTCGGTCCTTTCCGCGGTTGACCGACGCGTGGTGAAGTCGCAAGTGTCGCTTCCTGCCCAGTCCTGGTGGTGCTCTTCCTGCTAGTCATCGGCATTCCAGCTGCACGCATGACATTAGGCGGGCTTGTTCCGCGCAGCTGAAACACTTCGATTGGTGAATGAAACACAAGCTTGGGGAAGGGGATCATCCAAAGATGGAGGCTGGGCATGGCTGGGGCCTGGTCAGAAACCAGACGTGGATGAATATGGACGAGTTTTATTCCATGAGCGGGTACTTGTCGCAGGTCTGAAAGACGATCAGAGCCAACCCACAAAGCAATTTCGTGTACCCTTGGCATCACAGTGGTCTATCATCCTCCAGTGGTCTATCGTTTCGTTGCCTGACTCGTCTCGGCAGGTGTGCAGGTGGCAGCCTGGCAACATCACTACAACACCTCCCTTCAGTCGGGGTGGTCAGTGAGTGATTTCTTTTCAGTTGGTTCGGCTCGCGGGGCTGAGCCATGGGGCGGATGGTGGATGTGGGTGGCTTTTAGTGTGCACATGGGGCATCGAAAAAGCTGGAGATCTGGAACACCTGCCATTGGGTGCAAGAGTGCTTGACCCGAGGTTTTGGAACATTCTTCGCCTCCGCCCAAGAAATCGATCTTGACCGGGCCCATTTTTGTGGGAGAAACCTGTTAAGCCACCAATGCCATCCTAAAAAGGTTGGATGATTCAGGATTTGTACTCTCACCGTTTTCTTTGTTTTACATGTTTTTTTGGGTTTTCCTCCAAACGAGGGATCACTGTTTCCGGGCTTTGGGGTGAACACCAGGCTTTTTCCCCCGACGTATGGACTCCGCGTGCTGGCACCGTGCGGAGTCCGTGGAAGGCCATCGGCCAAGTTCAAGAACAAGCAGCGCTCGGTGGAGAGCAGTGGAGCAGGAGCCGAGCCGATTGGGGATGGGGCTTTGGGTTCACCGCGGCTCATTCGCTCGCTGACTTGAGGAAGTAAGGGGAAGTACAAGGGAAGTACACTCTTGGTGGTACTTCAATTGCCCTTTTTCTATGAAGAGGTTTATACAACAGGTTTAGTTTTACCGGTACTGTACTGTACAATCCATGTTTGCGGGGAGGTTTTATTATACAATCAAGAGTCTACATTACTTGCATTAGACCAGCAACTCGGTTGGTTGCAAATTGGGAGTCCTACCCATTTCTGATACACACCTGGGTTTCTCTTGCAACTTTAAAATCCTTGCTCAGATCGCGGATTTTTATGTAGATTGTTTAAGTTCTTTATGGCTCTATTTATAGTTCTTTTTCCATCCGCATGGCTCCGACCGCCTCTGCCGTGGCTGTTTTTCCGTTGTCGCCAGGAGGTGTGCGGAGCGCTGCTTGGGCCGAAGGTGCAGGCGCGACGAGCGACGAGACGCGGAGCGACGAGTCGCGGAGCGACGTCGGGGCAGGGAGGACAGGGAGGACGAGCATCTGTCGGACATGGGGCGACGCGACAGATGTGTTTGAAGTCATATCTTCCTCCATATATTTTGGTGGGCCAGGCCAGATGTGCGGGTCATTTGGGCAAAGGGCCAAAGGGTTGAGTCGAAGACATATGGAGGTGAAGTGAGCACGTTTTGGCGCCCAGGAACACCGACCTGGGCCTGGTTTTGCTATCAGGTGATATTTTCTATAATTGATCCTTCTGACATTTTTTTTGTTTCGTTTCCTTAAGCAAATCCCTGTGGTTGCTCGTTTGTCACTGGAAACGGGCCCTTTCTGGGCCCGTGGGAGCGGAAGAACGATGAGCGGAGTCCTGGACCGAACGTACAATGTCAACATGCAATAACAGGAATATAGAAGCAGTATGAAGCAGTAGATGGCAGTAGTCAGTCTTTATAGTCATAATATATATATATATAGTGCTTCTATACTCACTAGTCACTATTCACTTTCCAGTTTGGCCAGAGAACTCTCTCTCTCTCTGATTTCGACGCATTTTTTTCCACGCACCAGGCACGGCGCAGCCGCAGGTGAACGCTGCCAAGTACGGCGCCAGCTATCGGGCCACACGGCGAACGCTATCGACGCGTTCGGCCGCTATCGGCGGTGCCGCGGGCTGCTTCCGTCCACGCGGTTGGTCCATCGTTCCATCGTCGGTGGAAGTGGATGACGTCGGTGCCCAGTCGGTGGAGAAGATGAATTTGATCAACTTTTTACACGTAGTTCGTGCCGAGAAATTGAATAGGATATAGATGCAAACATGGATATTGTAATATGACATCTATCAACTGGATCCCATCCACACAAGGTCTAGAATTACGAGTGGTTTGTCACTTCAAACGCCGTATGGATTCCACAGTGCAAGACCAGTTCAGGATATTCAGCATTATTCAGCAAGTTTAGACCTCTGTCGACGCATAAATCCAGCTTTGGTCTAAAGAAGAACATGGCGGTGATTCTGCCGTGCTGCAGGAACAATGTAGTCGGTAGGTGCCACGTTTGTGCCAAGTGCCGGCCAGGATGGTGGTTTATTTTTACGATTTGCTTGATTCATTACTTTGTTCTTGTCGATCCAGTGGCCATAGTTTTTTGGCCATTCCCTCAGTTGGATGAATTGAATTTGCTGGGTCGCACAGGTGGGGCAGTTTGCCACAGTCTAGACCTCTGATGCAGAGCTGCATCAGTTACAGTATAGAATTCCAGAATCAGTTGGAGAGCTCAGGGATGACCGAGGGTAACCGAGGGTATCAGACATTCTTCCTCCGAGAAAAACCAAAGTTATGCTGCGGCTGTTTGACCCCTATCAACCATGAAGAGATGCTGCAGGACTGAGTGTGGCATTTTCTGGCTGGGACGAGGAAAAGCAACCCGGAATCCATCAGAACTGTTCATTTTGTGCAAAGACTTTGCTGCACCGAGACCAGCGTGAATCTCTGAGGTCTCCAAGATGACTTACGATGCGGCCGGGGAGCAAGCTGCTCTCCAACAGCAGGCGTTTGGTTCGTACACCGAGCTCGATCTTCCCCAATTGAACATCACGATCCGATCATCCTTCAGGGGGTGTCTTTCGTAATCCATTGGCCCGTGGAGGTGGTGGTGGAAACGTCTGCTCTGGCCACCCATGTGGATCATGTGGATCATGTGGCTTGATCTGGTGGTGACCGGCGCCGGCGACAGGTGTTCGTCAACAGTTCGTCACCCGGCCGTAAGCCGCAGAAGAACACCCGGGACTGCTTGGAGACACCCTCATTGTCCTCATCGCAGAAGGAACACACGCACACACACACACACTATTAATCACACACTTTATCTATCATCACGAATCATGAAGCCTTACCGAAACGCCCCACACTGCTATGCTCAATTTCGGCACAAAAGAACGCGTGCTCCTGAGGCTTTCAAGGTTTTTTCGATGGTTCTTCTTCATAGCTTTGGAATGGCTGCTGCTACATGGGCATGTATTTTAACAGGGAAACACACTGCTATCTCTGTTGCATTGCTCGCGCCTCTGGCATTCAGCCCGTAGCAGCCGTGCCTATGCATTCTTTAAAGGGAAACGCCCCAACCGGTCTCTTCTCCTTCTTCCGGCTGGTCGGTGCCGGACCTGTCGCTCTCCGGACCGGTCGTTGCGCCGGACCCTGCAGGCCGAGGCGGTGCCCGCCGCGCGGCCGAGCGTCGGGGCGCCGGGGCACCTGTCGCACCGGAGCCATCGGAGCGAGCACTCGCAAGTGCCGTGCCTTGGCCAGTGGCGCCGGCGGTGGGCGCGAGGTCGGTGGGCGTGTTTTTGGGAGATGGTTCTGGCTGAGGTGGTTGGGAGGGGAAGCGGGAGTCTTTTTTGAAAAAGGATGGATTTCATGGAGGGTGATGGTTTAAAGATGATGAAAGGTGCCCCTCAATCATCTCAGAAAGCGGAACACATGACTACAACAATACTAACCTCAGCGGTGTGGATCTCATTCTTCCAGCCAAAGCCATTCCAAACACAGAGATCCAGGGTTTTCCAGGCTGGGAAGCAGATGCGATGCACCCGCCACCAGGGTTTTCAAGGCGATGCACCGAACTGGGCTGTACTCTCCCAACGAACATGGAAGTGGAACCCCCTAGTTTGTAGTGGAACATGGTCTTCCGAAATCGGACTGATGGCATCCACTTAACCACGCTAGTTCCAGGGAGTGCAGACATCTTACCTTGGCCCTGCTGGGTCAAAATGGAACACTTAAAACCATTGGAAGGCGCACACACCCGCAAGCCTAGTGGGAAAACCTTTTCCAAAAAACTGATAGCGGACGCCTGACATTGCCTGACACCTGATGAATGACTGAAGAATTGATTCTGCCACTCCTGGGATCGTGCATCGAATATAACAATGCAACTCCGAACTGATCGTGAATCCTAGTGATGTCACTCCCGAGCGGTTAATACAATCTAGTACTACCGATGACATGAATCGCATGAAGACTCTTATGAAGCAGCAAAGTATACCCCTACCAATGTATTTTCCATCCAAAAACCACCCCTTCCGTGGTGCTAGGTCATTTCATATATCATAATCATATGGTATAATTGCCATATCATATCTCATATCTCATATCTCATACCTAATATTGCCTAATATCAGTCCTGAGATACTCATATCTCATATCTTTCCTCGAACCCACCGGTCACCCGACCGCTCACGGGGTCGTGAACCCGCTCCCGCTGAAGCACCGAGGAGTGGTGCGGGCAGCGCGGTGCCGACGACCCGGCCGCAAGGCATTTGGGACCTTAAGAGGTGGGGGAGGTGAAAGCCCCAAAAAACGACGTAATGCCCTTGTTTTTCGTAGCCATGCCCTTGTTTCTAGTAATGCCCTTGTTACTAGTAGCGATGCCCCCGTTTAGTAATTAGTAGCTTCTTTCTACGATATACAACCTTTGATATAGCACCCGAAATAGACTTGAGAGGGTGTCCTGGTACACATGGTCTTCACACAACTTCACACAATACTTTGGATTCAAACCTAGGTTAAAAGGTTCTCAGGTCCGACAGTTCTCTGACACCTGGTGTCCATATCCACAATGTCCGATGGATAGCTGTTCAGGCCTTTAAAGGAGAGGTGAACATGGACACCGGGCCATATTGGGCCTGAGTAAACGGGGGGGAGGGGAGTTTCGGGAGAGCTTTCTGTTTGGTTTGGGTGGGAGGATATGGTTATGGTTCCAAAAGACCAAAGTTCCAGGACCTTCAGTTCATGACCGAACTTGAGATGCCAGGATGTTGAAGGTCCTGGTTGTTGCTGATGGATTCTTGTCCCACAATCTCCAAAGCACCGCCCCGGGCTTGACCGCCACACGGAGAGCGTTTGTGTCTGGGGGGTTGGAACACTGGGAAGTCTGCAACAACTGGGAAGTCCGTCTTGGGAGCCTTCCTTTGGTGAGCGGTCTGGCAATTGGTGAGCCACTCTGTACTTTTGGGAGCTTTTGAGAGCAATGGGGGTGCACAGAGGTCACCGAGAGGTCTGGATTGAATAAGACTTTTCACCGGATGTACCTTTTTCTTCATAATTAGGCACATTTATTTTCAGGCTTTTGAATGTTTTCGCAAGGTCTCGATTCTCTCAGCGGCGGTCTTCTAGGCACAACAAGACCAGAAAAATGGAAGCTCAAGGAAACAGGAGAGAACCGAAAGGAGATTTCCTCCTTGAAGCAGGGAGGTCCAGCACTTTGCAACGATTTTTTGAAACCACAGCTTACATCGGGAAAGCCCACACATCCCCAGGTTTGGCGCCTCCCGGAGCCCTCTTTGTGGCTCGTCCGATGTCTCGAGGTGCCATCCTGAGCAAAACGGGTGAGTTCGTCCGGTACGACCCGGCCGCCTACAGGCGCGCCGGCACTCGGGCGCGCGCGCGCCGGCACTCGGCAAGAGTTCGTGCGCGGAAGACGTGCGCGCGTAGAGCGAAGAGGCGTATAGCGAAAGAGGGTGGTGAGTGGGGGGGAGACGAAGGTGTGTGGTTGTTGGTTGAGCGGGTCTTGAGGTGAGGTGCAGAGAAGGAGCTGTGCCACTGGATTTGGGCGCCAGTTGGGAGAGTATTGTGGATAAGGGGTGGAAGGTGTGTGAATGGGGATGACTGACGTGATTACGGATCTTTGATGGCAACAGACGTGGGAAAGATTGGATTGGGTTTCCCCCAATGTTCCCCACCTCAGCATACAGTAGTCCTTTGTGTGTAGGGTCTTGACTGAACTGTTGCAGCATATGGGGACGCACGTGGTGCCCCAATCATTCCAACCTTGAGATATGGATGGGCTTTGTTGCTATTGCCAGTTTCAGAGGATGTCGATTTCCAAGGTGAAGAGTGGGTGGGTTCGTTTCGCCGTGGAGTGTGTACTCACACTTTCTCAAAAGGGGTTCGATATGGTTCGATTCAACGTACGGAGCTGGCCCGTTGGCCCGTCGGCAAGGACATGGGGGAGGGGGAACGGGACATGGACGTTCGGGTCGTTGGCCCTGGCGGAATGGTAGCTCTCAGAAGATGGACCAGCCATTGACATTTCCAGGGCCAAGACACTTGAGATTCACCCAGCACCAAAAGCGTTTAGTTTTGCTTCTGCCACATGGTGTGATGCTTTTGTGCCATGGAACATGCAAATCAGTCGGGGGGGACTTACGAAATCCTCGAGAGTTGAGAAGCTCAACATTTCCGTGTCCCTACCCAGTGGTCGCTCTGTTGCCTGGTCAGCACCACCAACCTCCACAGTGCTGGAGTTCAAGACTTGGGCGAAGAACTCCTTCAAGGTGCGCTTTCTTGATCTCATCCACAAAGATGGCAGCAGACTCGGTGCATCTGGATTGTTGCAAGACGTGCTCAAGGATGGGGAGACACTGTTGGCCATAGTCCAAGTGCCACAAGTTGCAGCAACATCTGGTGGAGCCTTTGCTCTGTGCTGTTGTGGAGGAGTAGTTGCCTGGGGGGCGTCGAGAGCGTGGGGGTGACAGCAGTGCTGTGCAAGATCAACTGAGAAATGTACAACAAGTTCAAGCTTCTGCTGGTGCCTTTGCTGCGATTTTGGCAGATGGAACTGTTATCACCTGGGGCTGTCCAGGATATGGTGGTGACAGCAGCTGCGTGCAAGATCAGCTGAGAAACGTACAGCAAGTTCAAGCTTCTGAAGGTGCTTTCGCCGCGGTTTTGGCTGATGGGTCTGTAGTTTCCTGGGGCGATCCAGAAGAGGGCGGAGACAACAGCGCTGTGAAAAATCAGCTGAGAAACGTGCAGCAAGTTCAATCCTCTTTGGCCGCCTTCGCTGCGGTTTTGGCTGATGGGTCTGTGGTTTCCTGGGGCCATCCAGAGTGTGGTGGTGACAGCAGCCGTGTGCAAGCTCAATTGAAAAATGTGCGGCATGTTCAAGGATCTGCCGGTGCCTTCGCTGGCATTTTGGCTGATGGGTCTGTAATTGCATGGGGCGATCCTGATTGTGGTGGGGACAGCAGCGTGGTCCAAGATCAGCTTAAACATGTGCAGCAAGTGGAAGCTTCTGACGGGGCCTTCACTGCCATTTTGACAGATGGGTCTGTGGTTGCCTGGGGTGATCCAGAATGTGGCGCTGACACTAGTACTGTGCAAGATCAGCTGAGAAACGTGCAGCAAGTTCAAGCTTCTCAAGGTGCCTTTGCTGCCATTTTAGCTGATGGCTCTGTGGTTTCCTGGGGCGATCCAGAAGAGGGCGGCAACAGCAGCGCTGTGCAAGATCAACTCAGGAATGTGCAGCAAGTTGCAGCTTCTTCGGCTGCCTTCGCCGCCATTTTAGCTGATGGATCGGTGGTCACCTGGGGCGATCCAGCACGTGGCGGTGACAGCAGCGCTGTGCAGGACCAGCTGAAGAATGTTCAGCAAATTCAATCGACCGGCCGCGCCTTTGCTGCGATTTTGGACGACGGATCGCTGGTGACCTGGGGCCATCCAGACTGTGGTGGAGACAGTCAAGCTGTCCAAGGGAAGTTCTTGGAGCTTTGATGACGATTCCTTTTCTTCATTTTCGGTTCGTTTGAAGCGGCCATCCTCAGCGAAAGACGGTGGCCTATTTTTGTGCGAGCAGGGTTACCTAATCTTAAAAGCTGTATCGAGTGGTTTGCAGCTCAGTTCAAAACGAGGTGTTGTTTTTTGATGTTTTTTGTTTCCTGTTGTTGTTCTCTCGCAGCTTTGGATTCCAACGCAGATGGGCAGATCATACTGTATGAAAGAAATGCACCACCTCGAGCGGAAAACGCCACCGGACCGGCTTTATGGCTGAAAAGGCAGGGCATCGGAGAGTGGCACAACCAAGTCTTTCTTCCGTTGAATGGTAGGACCCCAGCCCGGGCTGGGCATATCATATCCATTCATATCCCACCAGGGCCCAGTGCAGAATTAGTGGAGGATTGTCAAGTTGCAAGGCCAACATCTCAAAAAAGAGTGATGATGGGTTTTCCGACCGTGACGGGTTTTCCGACCGTTACGGGTTTTCCGACCGTTACGGGTTTTCTGACCGTTACGGGTTTCAGGCCGGCCACACTGGTCGAAATAGATGTTGCTGAAAGAACACTGGTTGACTGGGTTGCAGGTCGACATCTCAATTGATTAGAGACGGCAATACTGGTTGACTGGGACACACACACTACCCCTAGACTGAGTTGAACTAGAGACTTGGTTGGAGGAGAAGTCCAGCCACGCTTCAGAAGTCCGCAAAAGGACCTTCGGAAGTCAAACAAAGTGAAGATCAGAAACCAAAAACCACGGGTTCCGGGTTCAGAAACTTCTTGGGTTCAGAAACTAGGGCTAGGGTTCATCAACAGGTTTTGTTGGGTTCAGGAAAAGGGCTTTGCAGGGTTCAGCCACTATACAAATTTGGCAGCTCCTAGTTTTCGACATCAACGTTCCCAGAATCCGAACCCCACGTTTTTCCAGTGTCCGAACCCAACGCTTTGGTTTTTCTGAACATTAATCGCTGACCTTTGGACGTCCACATCGGAAGTGGTGTGTTGTCGTCTCTCCCCGGAACGTTGACGGCTCTTTATGTCGTTTCCCACCTCCACCTCCATGTCCTTCCCACCTCCATCCGGCCATCCGGCCGTCCGGCCATGCACACAGGCCATGTTTATATTTTACAGTGGTTTCAGAGTAGATGGGACAAACCCCTATATCTTTTAGATGGGGGTCCATATAAACCACCTTTTTGGGGATTGTACCATCTACTGAAACCATTGTAAAAAGTTAATCCAGGCCATGATAGGCCATGATGGTCTAGGGTGGGAAAAAACAACGGGTGCAACACGGACCGGCGGAATCCAGCGGGCCACGGTTGCCCCACCCCTCGCAGTTAAGGGATGAGCGGACCGGGTGTGGACAGTTAAAACACAACAAACGGTAATCCAGGCCATAAAAACCTGAACTTGTGAGCCTCAAGACCTGAAAAACTCCACCCTGTCAGGCAAAGAAGACTGGGCGAAGCCAAGATAATCCAAGCCATTCATGTTCCTTGGGTCTGTCTATATAAGTATATGTACTTATTATATATATATATAATATGTATACGTATATATATATATATACACACCTGCAACAGTCGGTAAACAAGTATATTTATATGACTACTTTTTGAACAAGGCCTGTACGAACGACCATCATCCACTGTTTGTTCAAAGGAGTGGCGTGAAGCTCACATCGCATCTGGAACATCTCTCAGATCCCTCAAGATTTGCTGGGTTTGGCTGTCAATCTTCGAATGGGCCTGGAGCTTCCCAAATCCCCCTCAGCCGCCTCTCCAGCCGATTGACCTCGGTCCAGCAGCTCGGCTCCCACGGGTGTGCCGACCGCTGCGCCGCTCGGGGCAGGAATGCCGCGATGAATTCCATGGGCGCTCGGATGCCCATGAGCTTCACCCCGATGCAGGCGGCGGTGATCCGAACGAGAGCGGGGTGTAGACACGTGGGCCCCTCGGGAGGTGTCCGGTCCGGGAACCCGGCGTTTTTCTCAGAGGGAGCTGGCCAATGAAGGATGGCCAAGGATGGGCCCCAATTGGTGTTCTTGAAAAAACATGAACCAAGCTGCCTGAAGGGATCAATGGACGTGGTAGGGACCTAAAAGGCACATCAACAGATGTATATGGTTGAGCATCCGAGCATCCGACCTGTTAACAGTTAACAGTGTGAAAGACGGTGTGCTCCGCCACCCTCCAGAATGTTTGAACGTGAGAGGTGCAGAACATGGGCACCTCTGCTGATGAGCCGGGACAAGTGCCTGGCGTGATGGTGTCGCACCCAGCGGTGTGGGGGGGGGGTGAATCTTTGAGCGTTGTGCAGATGGACTAGGGGGATGGAGAAAGGCAGCGAGGAGTGAAGACCAAGGAGACAGTCTATATCATGGGTCTATGGTTGTTTCTGGGTGTCCTCAGAGCAATTTGATGCAGTGCCAAACAGCGTTGAAACTTTCAGCCCAGGGGGCCAATGGGCAGTGTCTAGTTTCACAGAATGACAGTACAGTAAATTGATGTGAAGCTGTGAAGCTGGTTGGACATGTTCCCTTGCATGTTCAGGACATGGCAAAGGGCGCATGTTGGACTAGAAGGGAGCAGCAAGAACTCACACCTTTTGAATTGTCAACTCGAAAGAGAACAGTGGCCTCCACTTTGGGACCTGTGGCAGAATCCATGTTCAAGGTGAACGGGAGCCGACTTTTCACCAGCTCCCGTGAGTGACAGGTGTATGTCATTGATGGTACCGCTTTGGAATTCGCTCGTTCCCACGACATGAGCGATCGGAACGTGTCGCTCACCGCTTCACACTGAGGCCATCACAGATGATGGATTGAGGTGAAGGCACAAGAACCTTCGGGGACGCGAGGACACCTGGTCGAGGCGGCCTGGTCGAGGCCCAGTGCTTGAGACCTGCAGATTCACTCTCAGACACCCAAAACCACGTCGGGCTGTAGAGGAAAAGGGTCAAAACCACAGGTGAATTCTCAGGGTTCTTGGAAACCTCTGCAGGGGTGTAAATGGTTGAGACGACGCACACGACGCACACCAACCGCCGACCGGTGTCCGATCCGAATTCGATCGACGACTGCGAGCTTAGGAACCCAATGCAGCGGATGTTCCATAGGCACACAGACGATGTGCTGAACATTGTGGGCTGCTTTGAGCCCACCAAGTCTGTTGATTCTTAAGGTGATGTTTGTTTCCCCTATGGGCAAATCCCTTTCTGGGGAACATGTTCAATTTGTCCCGGTTCCTTATGCAAATCGAAGCAAGCCTGGTGATTCTTGACAGATGACTGCCTTTGGGTTCCCAAGTCTCTCACCCATATGTTAAAGTCGACGGTCGACTGAACATCACAGCGGCAAGGAACTTCACTGCCCGGGTTTGAGTTGTGGCTGCTTGCTAGGGGAAAGAACCCAGATGTCAGTTCATACATTTTTCCAAAGGCTGATCCCTTTTGGTTTTGGCTATCGAAGTATTTGGACCCAAATTTTGGGCTAGTTCTTTAGGGTTCTCATATGTTCTCATCGTGTCTTCAGACCATGGGATGCAATCACCAAGAAGTTCTCTGGCAGCTGCCGAAGGCAAAATAACCCAAGGTGGTTCGCGTTCCGCGCCACGTTTTCACCACTCCTCAAAGAGGAGCTTGCGGTCCACCAGGGTTAGGCGGTGGGAAGACGAAACACTTGTTGGATCAGTGCTTTGGATGGCACATTCTTGTTGGAGGATCACCAAGGCAAGGTGTCAGTGTTGGTCAAGGTCCTCAAGTCCTCAAGGCTTCAGCTTTGCCATCTCTTTGTTGGGATAGGATGCCATCCGATGTTGACCTCCCCGTGTTGGGGTGATTTTCGTGTATGGCGAGGATTGATGGAGCCCTCTCAACCCGGCATCCAATAAATCGTTTTGACATCAGCTAGTTTTTGCCAAGCAGAGATCATCTTACTCGTAGGAGAACCGTGACCGCCGAAGCCGACTAGTCCCTGGCCGGGCCCTGCCACGTGAAAAAGCACTCGCAGATGGATTTGGGCGGGTGGATGGGGTGATTGGCAGGTGGGTGATGTATAATTATAGTTTTTTGTAGCTTGTTTGGCATCGTTCGATGCAAAGCAAGTGCCTGTATTGTTGTATCGGGTGCTCCTGTACGGGGCTTCTTTGAAGAGGCTAGACCCTGGTGTGCTGGAAGAGCACGGCTGGGCCCCTGGCTGGGACAATCATCGATCCAAGACTGGCTCTCCAGGCCTCCCAAGTGTGTCATACTGGTAAAACTGTCTTGAAGGGGGGCAGGACATGCCAAAACTGTTGCCTGTTGGATGTAAGCCCTTAAAGAATGCGGTCAAGACTTGTAAGGGCAAACAACACCTCCTTTCTGACGGGAACACATGTCAAGGCCTCGTTTTTGCGTTGCTTCAAAACCTCCTTTTTCAAGCCACCAAAAGGGGCAGGACGACCTTCAATCTTTGCACGACCACTTTCCCAGTGGCCTCATGGACCAACCTTCCGCCCTAATGCGGGGGGGTACTCCCAAGACCAACAGACCAATGCACCACGGACATTAACACCAACAGACCGCTGGTTCGTCGTCCGACCGCCCGCCCGACGCTGTGTGTTTTTCCTGCGTTCGAGCCGCGGAGTCCCGCGGA